AATGTCCGCGACTGTACCATGTAATATTGTACCGACGATTCTTTAAGTTAGATTTTATTTTCTTTTCTACTACTTGTAAAGAAAAAGTATTTTTATAACATCTAAACTACATAGGTAAATTAGTTTTATGAATTCTCAAAAGTCGATTGAGCAAATATAAAAAAAATGCCATATTTATTTTAAAAATGGCAAAATTTAATGGAATATAGATTAAAAAACGTTAATAATAATAATAATAATAATAATACGAGCTGATAGCGAAGAGCTTCGACCTACACCTCAAGAAGCTCTCGCTAGACAGTTGGATTAAGGGCCCGATTCAAAAGGCGGTTATTTTAGAAACCGCACGACTAGTGAGGAGGTTCCTGTCTCTGCAGCCCTGACCGCTGGTTGCTTGAATCATCGGATTCAGCAGCCGGTGGTGCTCTATTTTTTATATAATATGTTTTATTTTATTTTTGTAATCTTGTAAAATGTTTTAGAGAGTAAGAAATAAAGATATATGGAAAATAATAATAAAGTCATTTAATCCATTCAGAAGGCAAACATATTTAAATGTCGTTTTAGTATTCGGCCGTAAGACACTTCATGCAAAAGTAATGTGAAGAGATTTTGAAGTTTGTTGTCGCATAAAGAAGTGTAAAAGTTTTCAAGTTGAATTTTCTTTGAATTGATTAAACTCTTGAAAGATTTTTAAATCGCTTCAAGTCACTTGTCGAAAGTTTTGCAACTAAAAAAAATAAAAAGTTTACAAGTAAATTGTTATTTACTTCGGCATCCTATGCAACAATTACATAAAACTTATTTGTCTGTTTAAAAACCTTTTTATGGAAATACTAGCTTTTACCCGGGACTTGGTCTGAGTGAAATTAATGAACAAAAATGAGTCGCCTATGTGTTCTTCCAGATTATCCTCTATATCTATACCAAATTTCATCGAAAACCATTCAGTAGTTTAGGCTACAAATTCTAACAAACATCCATCCATCTAAACGTTTATAATATTAGTAAGATTAGGGCTGTTGTTATTATCCCTACAGCTTGTTTTTGGTTAAAACTAGGGTATAATAGACTTATGAATGGATAGATTTTATACATGCTAATACATTGTTCAGTATTGCCTTATCAATATTCATAGCACGTGTTTGTCAAAACCGATGAAGGCTGTAAATTCGTCATAGCCGCAGTTAGCGCGGACGCCGTGACGCGGCATACAACGCGGTACATTTGTATGTCGCATATAAATGTACCAGCATTTGATAGTTTATAACTTGAGTTCTTCAGCATATAGTTTTAACTTTTATTATTATCAGAATGTATCGAACATGAATTTACATTTAATTCTGATAACGTAGAGGATGAAAACGACAAATGTAGGGAAACACAGAAAGAAGATCGTGATGGAGTGAATTCAGATATTTATGTACGATACAATTTTAGTTGAAATAGCATAAACATTTCTAAAAACGCCTTTAGTTATAGAAGTGGTAAATAGTTTTTAATTTACAGATATCTAGCAAATAAAACTACTTCAGGAAAATAAATGAACAGAAGTAAGAGCCGGGACTACAGACATTCAGAGCATTTATTAAAAGCGACTTGGAGGCGTATTTCATTTATTTGGATTTTAATTAATTCCGGAACCGGGTTAAGCATCGAACGAATTTCAAAAGAGGCGATTAAATGAAAAGTACATCCAGCCAGCTCTTTTGCTAAATTAATTTTATCTCATTTAATATTTTTAGACTCTTTATTCCTTTCATAAATGAAAAAAAAACTATTAGTTAATTTCAAGTAATGCTCTTGACCCCACAGAAGATCTGCATATATCTATACTCTTTCATATATCTCTATCAGCCGTTATATCTAAATACCCTACTTTCTTAAGCATATCCTTTTTCACACAATCCATCAATACTTTCTTCGGTCTTTTTCTACTTTCAGCTATCCATTCTTACATTTAGTTTTAATATTTTTTTATTATCATCTTTCTGTATATATCCATAACAGGCTAACCTTTTGCATCTGAATTTCAAGTGTAAAATATTGCAGTCCAATCGTTTTCGTTCACGCTTTGTAATAATAAATCAAATTAAATCAGCATGAATGTAAAATCATCTGAATACATCGGCCGGTCTGTCGCACTCTGATTGGTTTCGGTTTTCGAGCAAATTGTCTATTAACATCGACAACAGCTGTTTTTCTCGAATACCTCGAGCAAATTGATTTTGGTACACTGACCTACATTCCACTGGATAGGCTACAAGCAGTAGTATTTTGTGCCTATATGATTTTTGTTTTACCGCTGACGGTCACGTTTGGTAATGGTGTCGGAAACCGGAATAATAACAAATACAGAATTATCTGACAGTAATTCGTTAACTTCAAAATTCATAATAGTTAGTTATATGTTTTTTACTTTTGTTCGAAGATGTTTTGCTTTAGGCCCAGATCGCTAATTGCGCCTTGTAAATAATAATAGCAATATGTATGAGATGGTGTATTTTTTACATAATACATTATGTTCTACAGAACACGATTTATTTACTTTTAAAGAAGAAAATATGCGTGATATAAAATATATTTGACATTACTAAGCACAATTACTTTGAAAACGACGGTTTTCCCTTTGAAGAGCTTTGCTGCTTAAGCGCGAAAACCTTTGTACTTCAAATATAAGTGTTTAATTTCCCCTCTACAATTAGGCGATTGAAAGCTTCAGTGAAGCTTTTCGCGGATTTTACTAACAGTAAGCTCTTTGAACATTTTACTAATTCCATTCATAAAAAAATATTAAATATTTCAAGTGTTCAACATTGTAACATGTCTGTTCCCTATTTACTTTTATAAGATCACCCTAATGAAATAAACCATCTCGTTAAAAGTATAACAAAAAAGTTAAATCGACGTTTCCCATAAACAATTTTAACTAACAAAAAAGTCTTTTTAAAGTTGATGCAATAACCCAGAGATTTTGCAAAGAAAATCTATTTTCACTGAACATAAAACTCTTAGTAATTTATTAAGAAAATCGTGTCATTTTTCGCTCGGAATTGAAACGATTTGTCTGAGTAATGCTGAGAAATATTTTATATTTGATTTTAGCCGCGAATAAAGTCTGAGTTTTAGTATTTTAATACTAAATATTTCAAAGACAGGAAAATTCCGAGAAATAAAGATAAGTGGCTAGCCGCACGATAACTTACAAGGTACCCGTTTTATATAAATGTTTTTATTATATTTGAATACTGTTTCCTGTAACTTAAAAGACATGGCTTTCACGTGATTTCGTCCACGACGGGTTATTATTATTAAAAAAATAACTTAGTATAAAATTGTGTGTTCTTCATTAAGCCTTTAAAGAGATACGTACAAACATCCATCCACACAAACTGAGTAGTATTTCTTTAGTGAAAGTTCATTGTAATTTTATTTCATGTCACGGCATTGATTTACAAACATCAGATATCACAAAGGGCACATTTCTTCAAAAATAGCACAGAAAGGTACAAAGCTTTGTAGAGTCGGCGATCTTAATGACAGGAAGGAGCAAATGCGAACTTCCTTTACTTAACGATGTTTGTTCCTTGAAGTATTCGTAAACACCCCCTGCCTACGACCTTGTCTACGACCTCTGACCTACGCCCACGTAGTAACGTCTACGAAACAATCGCTCGCGTCACTGTTTCCACGTTTCTTTTGTGTAAATTTTAGAGAATTTAAAGCTGGGTTTCCCAAACTTTTTTTGTCCAGGCACCATATTAATATTATTTTTCTTGACAAGGACTTCCTTCTTTGTAAGAGAGGGCGCACACCTTTGATTAAACTATCGCAAAACTGTTGTGCGATTGTCGATTGTTTCGAAGCCAATTCAACTGTTTATTTGCACAACTAATTGAGGAGTGTGCGCCATATAAGCTAGCAGGTATCAAAGCGCGACTAAACATTTGAATTGGCTACGAAACAATTGACAATCGCACAACGTTTATGCGTTAGCATGTTTTTTTCCAACAAGTACTTATAAACTGTTTAATTGATGTGCGATTTCCCTATGGCAAAGTACGAAATATCAAAGTATATCTTACTAATATTATAAATGCGAAAGTTTAGATGGATTGCTGGATGGATGGATGTTTGTCAGAGTTTGAAGCCTAAAGAGCTAAGCGAATTACGCTGAAATTTGTCATAGATGTACAGGATAGTCTGAAAGAACACATAGGGTACTTACTTTTGTTTTTTCAATTCCACGAAGATGGAGTCGCGGATAGCTAGTAAATTATATATTTAATTATGTATATAGTGCCAACTTACTCCAATAAACATAATTATAACTTACGCCATTGTCTGGCAAGTTTCTGAATGTCAATTAAAAGTTATGTCAACGTCGTGTTCAATGAGCAATAAAATTACGAAGGCAATTCACAAAGTAACTGTAATTTTATTGAAAGTTGTGTTTGTATAGTAAAAAGAGATACTAAGAGAACATTTATCTAAAGCCCGCTATACACACTCAATTATAACAGGTTAACTGAAGAGTCAAACTGTTAGCTCTAAGCGTTTGTTGCAGGCTTAATTGCTTACTTACTTATGCATATCATTTATTTTAAATTCTGTTATCACTTAACGTTTTTCTACAATAGTTTTTCACACAAAAAATCTAGTATTATCACGAGTTTGATGAATAATTAACGTTATTTATCCGCATGGCCTTGTTATGCTAATTATAATTTTTACACAGAAAAACGAAGTTCTAATTTTATATTTTTATTTAAGCATTTTCTAATTGGATTTACAAATATTCCTATTTAACTAAGTACTCGTAGATAATAGTTAGTTCGTTTTTATTATTAAAATCGTTGTTAAGGTCGTGAGATTGCCAGAGTTATATATGTTCGTGTTGGGACAGGAAGACAGTCTTTGCCAGGGAAATAAAACGATGTTAAGTATAAAGGTAACAACTACTTTAATAGTAACTGGTTCCCAAATTTACATAGGAGCTCCTAAGTTCTGTGTTTAAATTCAATAAGTAGCGGTTCCCCTGGCGAGTAGAAGAGGCTGTGTCTCTCCACCTGCACGCGGGCAGGCGGCGGCGTGGTGGCCAGGGGACGGAACTTGTACGACGCCACCATGTACGCCAGCGCGCAGCGGAGGTTGATTAAGGCGAAGCGGCGACCTGCAAAAATACATTTAATATTCCTAACGAAGAAATTATTT